GTGCTGGCACATGGCAGGTGTTCAGGAAATAATGTGTACAGTGACTGTGACCAGTGTTCCCCCAGAAGCCTCCCAGAATGGATTCAACCTGCTAGCCTTCAAGGTTAGTAATTCCTGAATGAATGCAGCTTGCCACACTCCCCTGTCTGCTTCCTCCTCCAGGAGTTTTCACCAAGGCTTAGTTCTATTCTTCTGCCTTTCTTATTACACTGAATAAACTTATATAGATTTTTGGCTAGAAGAACAATGTTTGCTGATTTTCTTACTGTTACTGGGCAAAACTCAAATTTCACCCTCACATATACCTCTGTCTTATCTGACCCTTTCACAGCAATGAGGGCTTGACTGAGACACCTGTTCTGGTGAAATTAGTGCTCAAGGGCTTTATAAACCGTCCCAGATGGGTATCTGTGTTTAGAGAAGGACATTCTCAAATTTCCCCAAGTAACATGTTCCGGTGACTCCAACCCTGGAATTCAGTTTTCTTTCTGACTTAAGGTCAAGGCCGCTGGCCTATTGTGTGTCTGGCATTTGCTCAGGACACAGGAATCACCAAAGGAAAGTGCTGAAAAAGAAGTTTAGAGCATGATGCCTAGCATGCTGTGAATATATTTTAAAAGTATGGCTACTGCCCACCCAAGGTAACTTCAGGATATAGAGCTTGCTCTTTACCCTTGTAGCTCAGTAGCCTTCCTTGTTGGTCACTTTTGTAGCACTGCCTTGTACTGCTTCACGGGGACGGCATCTCAGAATGACCTGGAGTAGAAAGAGCTTGGGTTTGGGCACCCTCCAGTCTATAAGCCGCTTGGCTGTGCCACTTGCTGGCTGTTGTGGCCCTGGGCAATTCATTTAACTTTTTTATTTCAAATACTATTTATTTTTGAATTACAGGAAAGTACCAGAAAGGAAACAAAAATGGCCCCCAATTCTACCACCTTCTCATAAAAATAAAATACTACATGCATGTGGTTAGAAAATTTTAAAGTGACAAAAAGGAAGGAAATAAAAAGGAAAGATACCCCACCCAGTCACTTTCCCCAGAGAGATCTACTGTTCAGTTCTTTGTGTTGTCTGTTCAGAAAAAATGTGTTTTGCCAACTTAGCTGTTGGATAAGGATATAATTAAAGAGATTAATAAAATGGTGTATATCTCTTTATTTGCATAAGAGGGACCATATTTTGAAGACTATTCTATACCTTTTTTCTTTTAATTACATTTTTCAAATTGACACATCAAGCTCTACCTCATTCTTTTGAAGGATTTCATAGTATTCCATTGTATGGATTCTTTCATTCAGCCTCTGTTTATTGAGTGCCAACCAATAAACGGTGCCAGGCACTGTTCTAAAAGTTTGGGACTCAGCAGTGAACAAAACGAGCCAGGTCCTTCTTCTCATTGAGCTGACATTTCTAGTGGGAAATTGGCAATTGCAGTGCAGTGAATTACTTGATGCGGTCCTTCTAGCTATAGTCTTTGTAACTCCCACCAAATGACTGGATGGGACTATGCAAATGAGGTGACTGGCACACCAAGGGGATTGGATAACTTGCTAATAATGTAAATAAGGTGCATCGCACCCTTGTCGGGGGGGCAGGACCATGGAAATACAGTGTATGGAACCCTAACAAGGATATTGGTCAGCTTTGCCATCCCACTGTTGCCGGAAACTCCGGGTCAAAAATAACTCCATCAGGGTCAAAAAACAGGGACCAAGTTGGGAAGAATGAAAGGCAACTTTATTGGTTGGCCAAGCAAGGAGACAGACAGGGCCGCATGCCCTCCGAGACTGCCTCACAGGCAGGCAGCTTGTTGAGGCTGGTTTATATAGGCGGGATCAATTTCAAAATACAAAATGGCGTGCATGCAGGCACAATGTTTTAGAGTGAGTAAGCATTTTCGAAGGCCTGGGCTCAATTCCCTGTGCAGGAGGAACTTAATCATTTTTGTTGAGTAGCATGTCAGCTCTCCACCCAGGGACGGAGAATTTACCATGCATGACGCAGTTAATGAGCTAAAGGTCATTTGGAATGTCAGGATGAAGAGCAGGACCTGTTTCAGCCAATTCCAGCTAGCCAGTGACTGTTTTTCTTTAAGGAGGTTCTGAGGAGGAAAGGAAAGAACTCTAGAAAATGGACTGGGTGAGGGGCTGTCTTGAGGCTAGGAAAAATGGCTGTATGGTTCTAGCCATGTCTTACCACTAGGCTTAAAATCCAAGAGACAGGAAGGGAGGATCTTACCACCACCAAGATAAAAAGAGCCAGGAGTGGAGCATGTCCTTTGGAGCCGGGATCCCTGCACTAAGAACCTCCTAGATCTAGGAGACAGATGACAAGAAGCCATGGCAGAGAAGCATAGGCATCAGAACCAGGAAATCAGCAGGAGATGACACAGTGGGCTTCCTGGCCCATGTAGCGAGAAGGCTGAGTGCCTTTGTGCAGGAGGCTTCCTGGTGGAGTGGGATGCCTCCAGGTGCTTGGTGATGGCGGAGCTGGGCTCACCAACCCAGGGAGCAGGAGAGCTGAGCATCTTCAGGCCAAGGCCTACTGGCAGAGTGGGGTGCCTCTGGGCACTTATCTGCAGAGCTAAAAGAGCTTTGTAACACTTACCCAAGCAGGGCAGAGGCCAAGGGGCCTGAGGTAGGCATGCCTGTGGGAACGGCTGAGAAGAGGCTGTAGTGATCAAAGAACTGTATCCCAAGCATTCCGGAGCCTGAATTGTAACCTGTTACTTCCCTAATAAACCTATAGTCGTGAGTAATCTCTGAGTTGTGTGTGGCCAGTGCAACAAATTATGGAACCCAGCAGAGAAGTAGAGTGCTGTGGCAGGAACGGTTGGTGTTAGAATTGGTCAAAAGGTTGGAGGGTGGAGGCATGTCTGACCTCCGCCTCGTAGGAATCAGTCTTGGGCTGTTTGTGAAGTTAGAGGGCGTCAGACACCCCCACCACGCCATTTTTATACAATAAATATATAACTTAAAGTTGGATGGTTATAAATGCAGTGCAGAAAAATACAGCAAGTGTAAGGGCATGTGTGAGGGGTAGTGCAGTTTTAAGTACAGTGGTCAGGGATCCTTTCAGAGGAGAGGCCTGAGTGAAGTGAGGGAATGAGCCATGTGAGGACTTAACTAAGGGTGTTCCCAGCAGAGGGAACAGCAAGGCCAAATGCCCAAAGGTTGGAACCTGCCTGGTGCTGTAGGAACACAGGGTAAGCAAGGGAGAGAGCCATAGGGGTTCTAGAGGAGGCCAGATCATGCGGGAAATTGCATGGGCTTTGGATTTTACTGCAAGTGAAACCGGAGCTGTTAGGAGGGTTTTGTGCAGAGGAGAGACATGGTCTGACTTAAGTTTTAACAGAATCACCTTTAAACTCAGGCTAGTATGTAGATGAACCTAAACCGTCTCACTGTTCATGATTTTTTTGGTTTTTTTAAATCCCTACTACCAACATTGTTAAAGAGTTTTCCATGTCTCTCTCAAGTCAGTATACTTTTTGGGGCATTATCTATTGGGTGACTATGTTCATTTGCTAAATTTTCTCCAAAAAAAGTCTATTCTTTCTGATTTTCAGTTTCCTTGTCAATTAAAGGTTACAGTAATAACTCCCACTTCACAGTATTTTGAGGTCATCCAAAAAAGACTGGTTTTGAACTGGATATAAATTCGGGAGCTATACACATGGTAGTTAGGATTTAATGGATTGGCTACAAAGTGGCCCCCTTCTTGGAGGGCCTTTATCGCCAAAGTGTCCTGGGGTCTCTCCTTTTTTATTTCCCCATGGCTTCCTTGCTCAGTCTGATTTTAGAGATAAAAGATTTCCTCCCTTTGTTTACATGGCTTATTTTGCCGGGACAACAGGCTTTGGGATTGTTTTTCTGGAGAGTGGTGGGGGTGGGGATAGGGACTTGGGTTTGGGATATAGGTTCAGGACCCTCCCTTAATGTGGTTGATGTCTTCATATCCTTTAATTAGTCATCTTCTGGAAGACTAAGAAGTGGAAAATTTTGAAGTGGCTGCCAAATTGTGGTTCTAGGCTGTAACCTGCAGGTTAAACATTGAGAAGCCCAGATTTCTGGCAACACTTTGTTTTCAGGAATTGAAGCCTGCAAACAGAACAAAGCAGCCCCCACAGGGCTGTGTTCTCAGAGTGTCTGAGGGGAAGGCTTCATGGCCTCTAAGGAAGTGAATCGTAGAGGCCAAGCTGTTTAGTCCTTTTTGGTGTAAGCGTGAAAGCAGATTTTCTAGGACAACGCTGTCCAACAGAACTTTCTATGCAGATGGAAATGGCCTATAATGTGTACTGTCTAATGTGGCCGTTGTCCCCATGGGGCTATTGAGTACTTGAAATGTGGCTAGTGCCACTGAGGAATGACATTTTTAACTTTAATTTTTTTTAAATCAGAAAATATCTTTTTTTAAAATTTGAGTCAATCTAAGAGTTTATTATCTCCCCCCTTTTTAAAAAATTTCATTTATTTTGTTTTTGTTGTTGAGAATATACACAGCAAAACATACACCAATACAACAGTTTCTACAGGTACCATTTAGTGACATTGATTACATTCTTACTTAATTTTAATTAATTAAAATGTAAATAGCCACACGTTAGTGGCTCCATATTGCACAGTACAGTTCTCAGCTGTTGCCCCTGTGCCCACCCTGACATTGAGCCCCACCCCCACCCCCTTTGCTCTTCTCTACCCTTACTGAATCCTCAAATCAGGTACCCCATCCCCATATCCATGAAGTTTTTTCTCTTGTCTCCAACTTCTTCCACACTTTCTGGAGGATAAATAATTGTACAATAAATAAAATATGCTGTCTTGTTCTCCAGTTGTGTCAGATGTGCCTTTTCTCCCCAGCTGGATTGAGAGTTTCATGGAGCTAGCTGGGTCTTTGGTATTACTTCTCATCTGTGTTGTATAGCTTGTACCCATTAAATACTTACTGATGACTGAGTAGTTGATTTACCCTTTTTAACCAATTTCTCTCCTACTTACCAGGTGCCCTAAAGAAGAGTCTCACAGCCGAGCAGGTCCGGGCTGATTTCATAACTCTGGGTAGGTCATCTCCCAAGGTCACCCTGGGTGATAGGCCCCTGTGGCTCTTTATCCTGTTAATGTCACCTTCTGTTCTCTTACAGGTCTTAGTGAGGACAAAGCCACTTACTTTTCTGAAAAGGTATCATAATTCATTTTAATCAAGGTTAATTAAGATTACTTGCTTTTATTTAATGAAAAGAGAATAAAAGGAAAATGTAGACTGAGGAAAAAAACCGTCAATCACGCTTCATTTCCCAAGCTTAATGTTTTTCATTTGGTTCCACACAAATGACATACATATGTGACATACATACAGGTTTTACCCAGCACTATTTAGTACATCTCTGATTTTTCCCTCTGATTTGACTGGATACAAATATTGTACAGTTTTTGTTCTAATTTGGATTAAATCTTGGAATAAAAGGAAGCATTTATATTATATCATTTTCCATCTCTAGACTAGATGTATGCATATAGGCTGAGGCCTTGGTTCTGCATGCTTCCCACTTTCTGTACAAATACTAAACATTGCTGTGTTTGGGGCAGGGTAGGGAAGGGAGGCATTTTTTCATTGTTATGACTTTGACTTTTTGCTTTTGTTGCAGTGGAAACAGAATTCCCAGACCCTTGCTCAGTGGGCCATAGGTCAGACTCTGATGATTAACCAGCTTATAGATATGGAGTGGAAATTTGGAGGTAACTATTTGGAACCAGGCCTAGGTCATTCGGGTGATGTAGAGTTGGGTTGCAGAGCCTTTTAGGGAGCCTCAGTGGGGAAGACACGTCCATAGTCCTCCAAGACTGTTGCAGTCGGTCAGCAGCTGCTTTTCTGTACTGATGCCCGCAGTCGGCAGCTGTCTCCATCGCGGCTCTCCATAGGGTGACTCACCACAGAGCACATCTTGCTGGCCTCATACTCACCCCCACATGGCTTCAGCTGGACAGCAAGATTGAGGTTTTCAGAGTAAATCCTCAACCAGTCACTTGTTATTTTCCTCTTTTGTGTCACAGTGACATCTGGGAGCAGTGAATTGGACAAAGTGGGAAGTATTTTTTTACAAGTAAGTCTTCTCCTCCTGATCTTTGAAAATGGATAAATTTTTGACTTGGTTAAAAATTACTAAATCTGCATTGCATTCCTTTAAATATCCATTTAGTTAGATGTTCCACGAAAGTGTCTTGTGTATCTCATAGAAATGTGGCCAGGCACAAGTATGGTTACTGACATGCCCACTTCCAGGTTAATAGGAACCTGACACTTATTGAACCTGATATTAATGAAAATTTTGATTGCTTCTATAATTATAGGGATTGTTAGAATTTTTGGTGGTGGGTGATCCAGTCAGTTCCTGTTTAACTCTCAAGTTAGAAGTTGGATGCTTTGATGTTTAATTAGGTAAAAGGGTTTCAGGAATTTGCCCATTTGTTGTCATTTTAATTTTAAAAATTTCTTTCTTTCTTTCTTTTTTTTTTTTTAAATCAGTTAAAGTTGGTGGTTAAAAAAGGAAACCAAACTGAAAATTTGTATATAGGTGAGTCCAGATTCCCATTTGAGCCTTTTTACGTTTTCCATGTTCTCTTTAATCAGTGGGCTCACGAAGTCCACCACAAATCATCTCTACCAGAAAAAAAATTCATAACTGAGCCATGGAGTAGCTATTCCATTGCCTTTCTTCTCATAAAAGATAATATGAGGATCCTTAATAAGCCATGGGCAGGGCGGAGACACTACAGTTGAAGAGCCTTTTGAAAAAGGGAAATGGGGGGAAGGAATGGCTGAGATTGAAGGTTTCAGAAGCTCTTGCTGTAGAAGTCACATTGAACATCCTGAGTGATACCCTTTCATCTCCTTGTGCTGCAGAGTTATGCCATTTACACCCTTTTTTAAAGGAGCTGGGAGCCTTCTGTGTTCAAGGCTCTCAGTTCTTTATCATGATCGATTACCCTCCAAGAGCTGCTCAGCTGTACTAAGCCAAAAAAAAAAAAATGGGAAGGTGAAAATTCTCAGATGATTCTGTGGAGCTGGAAACATTTACCTGAAGCTGAATTTTCTCTCCCCAGAATTAACTTTGCCTCAGTTCTACAGCTTCCTACACGAGATGGAGCGAGTCAGAGCCAGCATGGAGTGTTTCAGCTGATTTCTGTCCCCCTACATCTCCGCCTTGCCACCCTCCCCTCCCGGGGTGACTGCTCTGAGAGGTACCTCACTCACAGGCCCGTTGGGTGCTCATTTTGCCTTGCTTGCCTCTTGGGAGCCCAGGTGTAAAGGTTTCTGAAAAACAACAGGATTAAGTACTTAAAGAGCCCTACACAATCACCCTGTAAACTCTTTGTTAAGGAACCAGCACCTATCTCCCAGGACACTTTTTAGATACTCAAACTGATTCGGGGAAGAAAATGAGTTGAGTCACCTCCCCATCAAAACTCTAGAGTAAACAGATGGTGCCATCACTCAAGATACACGCAGACCACCCTTCCCCCAAAAGAACAAGAACTCATTTATGGCTGAACAAGAAGCAGACTGTAGGAATGACACGTGTGGAGAGCCCCGAGGATTTCTGCACACTCTCTTTGTGGTGGTGGGGCAATGCTAATCAGTTTTTAACTGAGCATTGTGTATAAATATGTGATTGGTCATCTCTGAAGAGAACTGAGGCTAAACTCGGCCCCCAGTTCTGGTTTTGCCCTGTTGTGTTATAATAAGGCGGGCCTTTTGAGGCTATTTGAGCTTGTTTTGGTTGAAGCTGACCTCTGTTGGTTAGGTGCTAAATAAAAAAGGTTCTGAAGCAAAGCTCTAGTTGCCTTTATGCATGAATTAAAGAGTCATCTGCCTTGCAGAAAACTAGTGTTCTCTTCACAATGACCTTCCTGAGAAGATCCTGCACTGAGTCTTCAGTTAAATTAGCAGTGGTCCAGAGTTGGAATTTGTCACAGCAGATCAGAGAAAACTCAGGTTAAAAAACATCATGAAAAAGCATAGTGTATGAATGCTTTGTGTTGAGATGACTTTAGCCCCCATCCTAGCACATGGCTTTTCCTCCTTCTCCTTCTCCCTCTTCCCCTCCTTGTCTGAAATGTTTTAAAGTTTTGAATAGGTAATGCATGCCCATGTTTCAAAAGATACAGTGTAAAATAATTCTCTTTCCCACCCCCACTCTCCAGTTACCTAGTTTTCCTCCCTAGAGGCAACTACTATTATTACTAGCTTATTCTGTATTTTTCTGGAGATATTTCATGCATTTACAAATATATATGCACAAAGTTTGATTCTTCTTCCCACACAAATGGAAGCAGACTGTACACACACTATGCACCTTGCTTTTTCCTACTTAACTTGGAAATTGTTCCCTATCAGAACATATAAAACATTCTTTGCAATAAATGTACTATATTTCTTCAAATGGATGATTTATTTAACCAGCTTTCTGCTAATAGATGTTTAAGTTGTTTCCATTCTTTTTCTCTTATAAATAATGCAAAAAAAAAAAAAAAACAGGTTGCCTAGTCAGCTCTGACTTATGGCGACCCCCATGTGTGTCAGAGTAGAACTGAGGTCCACTGGGTTTTCAATGGTTGATTTTTTGGAAATTGATCACCAGGCCTTTCTTTCGAGGCATCTCTGGGTGAACTCGAACCTACAGTCTTACAGTTAGCAACTACATGCGTTAACCATTTGCACCACCCAGTGACTTCCATAAACAGTGCTACAACTGAATATTCTTGCATATATGTCATTTTGCACATGTGGAAATAATACAAGGTAAATACATACAAATGGAATTGCTAGGTCAAAGAGTTTGTGCTTTTGTCAAAGACTGTTGTTACTAGGTGCCATGGAGTCAATTTTTGATTCATAGCAATCCCATGTGACAGAGTAGAACTTCCCTATAGGGTTTTCCAGGCTGTAATCTTTTTTTTATTGTACTTTGGATGAAGGTTTATAGAACAAACTAGCTTCTCATTAAACAATTATTACACATACTGTTTTATGACGTTGGTTAACAACTTCACGATATGTCAGCACTCTCCCTTATCAGCCTTGGGTTCCCTATTACCAGCTTTCCTGCCCCCTCCTGCCTTCTGGTCCTTGCCACTGGGCTGGTGTGCTTCTTCAGGCTGTAATCTCAACAGGAGCTGATTGCCCGGTCTTTTTCTCATAGAGCTGCTGGATGGGTTTGAACTACCAACCTTTCAGTTAGTAGCCAAGTGCTTAACTGTTGCACTGCCAGGGCTACTGTTTTCAAAGACTATAAAAATGAATAAAGCAAAGCTAAAAAGTCCCTTTCACCCTATCCCTGTTTTACTGTTTCCCTACTGCTCCCCTCCAACAGGTAACCCCTGTTGTTAGTTTCTTTGGTATCCTTTCAGAAGTGTTTTTTTTTTTTCTCCTCACATACAAACAATAGGAATATATATATATTTTTACCCCCCATCTTTTTAACAGGGAGCCCCAGTGATACAGTGGTTAAGCTCTCAGCTGCTAACCAAAAGATTGCAGGTTTGAACCCACCAGCGGCTCCATGGGAGAAAAGACCTGGCGATCTGCTTCCATAGATGACAGCCTAGGAAACCCTATGGGGAAGTTCTACTCTGTCCTATAGAGTCCTATGAGTTGGAATCAACTCGACAGCACACAACAGCCTTTTTAACATAAATGATTGCACACTATTCTTAATACATCTTTCCATATCAGTATGTAAAGAATCTATATTACTTTCTATGGCTGCAGAGTGTTCTGATGTGTGGATGGACTACAGTCCAGCTTGTTCCCACGTCAGCTGACAGATCCAAACGCTCAGGGCTCTGCATGGTGTCCAGGGTGAAGTCCAAACTCAGCCCACCAAGCCTTCAAAGGTGGCCCTGCCTGCTTCTTCCACCACTCCATCTCCACTGCCTCCTAGCAGGCAGCCTGTACTAGTCTACCAGACTGGTTACAGCCACCAAGCCATGCATCCATCTGCCTCTTCTCCCCTTGGGCCTACAATACTTTCCCACACCTCAAGATGTAGCATCTAGGGCACTTCTAAGGGCCTCCCGACAGCTCTGGGCCATATTAAACACCTGCTGGGCCCATGTAGAGCCTCCTTCATACTTCTACTACTGGTCAGGCATGCAGTCTGACTGCTTTGAATCCTAGCCACTCTGCTTACCAGCTGTGTGATCTCAAGCAAGCTCCTTAGTATCTCAGAACCTTAGTTTCCCTGTTTGTAAAACAAGTTTAGTTCTTACCTCATAGGGTTATTGTGTCACTTAGCACAGTGCTTGCTTAACTAATGTGAACTATTTATGGTTCCAGGATTTTCCCCTCTACTGGCCTGTGAGCTTCTTGATAATACAGACTTCTTTTTCAGCTCAATTATCCTAACATTTTGCATCAGCAGCCCCTCCCTTTCCCCCACCCACCCCGCCTTGTAGGTCCTCTTGTTTGTTGAAATGAAAATGAGGCCTGATGTACAGCCTCCATGCAGGACTGTTAGGAAACTTGCCTGGCTTTAGAATAATAGACCCTGGAAAGTTGTTTTGATTATAGTCAGTTTTAAATAGATCATGCTCAAACCCAATAGGTCTTTAGTGTAAGGTAATCAGACTGGGCACCCATCTTCCAAGAGTAATTGAACTCCTTGCTCCTTGATTCCACAAATACTTTTGAAGCGCCTCCTATGGGCAAGAGCTGTGTACCCAGGTAATTGACAATTTTTCTTTTCAGTGACCCTATTTCTATGCATAGGAGCCCTGGTTAAATACTCAGCTGCTAACTGAAAGGTCTGTGGTTCAAACCCACAGGAGAAAGATGTGGAAATGTGCTTGTGTAAAGATTACAGCCTTGAAAACCCTATGGGGCAGTTCTGCTCTGTCCTGTAGGGTCGCTATGAGTCAGAATCAACTCAAAGGCAATGGGTTTGGTTTGGGTTTATTTCTATGCAAGAGTAGATTACACTCTTACTTCCATTTACTATAGTGAAGATCCTATTATGAACTCCAAGAACTACTCTAGCCCCTTCGTTGTATTGGAATTTTGTCACAAATATTGAATAAGGGCCATTGATCAGAACCTGTAGACTGTTAGGGATTTTGCTGCAATGCTGGGGGATTTGAACAGGATCTTACCGCTAGCACTTCATCTTTGCAATTGATTAACTCTTGTTCCTCTTTTGTTTATAAATCCTCTATTAACCTAGTCTTTGGCTACAGGTTATTTTTATTTAGACTTGGAGTAAAATGTTCCTTAAGATGGTAATAGTCAAGCCAAGAGAAGATTAACCAGAAATAGCTGTATTCTTTCCCCCATAGGAGAAAGGACTGTCATGGTTGGGGAGGGTAATGGGGGAAGGTTGGGTGTTATTACCACCACTGTTACCCCAAGGAAGAGGATACACCAAGGATTATACTTGTATGAAGTCATGTAATCATAATTGGAATCTTGGTCTTCTAACTCACAGCTAGAAGGGGTTTTTGTATGATTTTTATTGAGATATAGTTCACAGATTATAAAATTCCAACTAGAAAGGTTTTAACAGTTTATATAAATCAGGTGGTATTACAAAATCAAACCCCCATTAAAACATCTCTATGAATTTTTTTTTCCTCTGCATTGAAGCAGGGGGAATCGTAAATCATCTTTTTTGAACCATGGATGATGTCTATGATGATGATTAAAATATAACAGCTTAAAAATAAAGTTTATAATAGCAAATAATTGAAAACAATGTCGCCCAATAGAGGATTTGTTGTATACCTTATGGTATATATAATGGAATAGCATGCAGCTATTGAAACTGATATTGAAGAAGACAGTATTATGAAAAGGATCATGGTCATGACATTTAGGGGAAAAAATTAGGTTACAAAACAGTAAGATCAAGGTGAACCGATTGCAAAAATGTTTACATAGAAACAAACTGGATATAAAGGAAAATAGTAGTAGTTACTTCTTGGCAGTAGAATTACAAGTTTCAAATTTTTTGTTCAGGTTATCTGTAGTTTCTAAATTTT